TGTAACAATATGTTCGAATAAACAGACTTGAGGCATGACCTCACCTTAACTCCAAAAAAAAAAAAAAAAAAAAAAAGAAAATAGCTCATTGGTAGAAAAAAGTGACAACAACATAGCAACACTTGTAGAACAAGACAACAATACTTTCACACATAATAAAGAGGTTATTGAAAACAACACACTTAATAAAGAGGTTCTCAAAATTAGTACATATAACAAAGATAACAACAAAACAATGACATGTAACAAAGAGGTTTTCAAGACTAGTACAGGTAACAAAGACAACATAGAAACAACAACTTAAAAAGAGTTAATAAACAAACAAGAGGACTTCACTTTGAAAAGGAATACAACTCCCAGCTCTAGCAAAATGACTAAACCATTAACAAAAAAATGGACAAGTATCTTTCCTAAACTTAAAAGAGGCCAGTCAACTTATTCATTCTTTTATCTTAGAAACATAATTAAATCAAAAAATAAAAATGCCCTTATCATAGATATACAAGGCCTATAATGCTCATTTAATAAAATTATGTCATCATTATTCAAAATTGCTAAAAATGACATCATTGCAGCTAAACAACATCTTACTAAAGAAACATGATCACATCTAGAAATCATCTTCACAGATAAAGAAAAGCTAAAGATCTATGCAACAAAAGGTGTTAAAATTTTTAACAGAACATATTTTGGATATGTTCCAATGGATAAGAGAAAATAATTCTTGCTAGTCAAAATCAGAAATGTCCTACTAGGCAACAAAGAAGAACTGTCAGACTCAATCCAAGATGCTTTTGAGAATATAGGTAAAATAGCATCGATTAATTGAAGGTACACTATACCTAACAGATCAGTGGGTTATAATTTTTGAGACTACAGAGAATCCATTTTTAGAAGGTAAAATACCAAGGTTTACCCATATTTGGGATAACAAGGTCACAACAAAATTGAAGGTAGCAGCAAAAGTATGCTGCTTCTGCAAAAAAGAAGGGCATATTAAAAAGGAATGCCAGCTATTTCAGAAATTAGTAGCCCTCTGCCAACAATATCAAGACTTCAAAAAAAGAATTGGATCATACAGCAAAGATAATTTCACAAATATCAGGCCAGAACAAGAATTTCATGTAGCTTACTCTGCTAACAAAGAAGAAAACCCATACTTGCAAGATAATATACCCATTACTAACTGTGCAGGCTTACAAGAAAATGATTTAACACAAGAAGAAAAAATGGGCCTTTGTTATCTTCAATGGAAATAGACAACAAAAGAAACTCTACACTAAGTAAAGATAAGAACCTCTTACCTGACCTAGTACTAGCACCTCACGATGAACTGGCTACACTGTATCTTAATACAGAACCACAGGCAGAAAACAAAAATACAAATAAAACATTACCTATAATGGAAGTTGATAATAAGAAGGCCCTTATGCCATCTCATAAAAAAGACAAAGATAAAAAAAGAAAGAGTATACAGAATAAAAACCAATTAAGGCCTAGCCCATACAGAAAACAACACAATGAGGAACTGTTCTCACAGACCTAATTAGGTCAAAATTTTTATACATTTACATGCCTCCAAAATTCAAACTCAAAATTGCAACTTTGAATGTAAAAGGACTAAATGATTGAGACAAACAGCAAAAAACATTAACACTATTAAATCCTACAATTTAGATTTAATAATGATACAAGAAACTAATCTCAACAATGAAAACACTAGGAACTTTTTAAAATACCAATGGATATATGACTCATTCTGGTTAGACAAAGTGGCAATTCTGGCTGAAAACAGAAACATTACCTTTAAAAATATGAAAATACACCAAGATGGATGAGTTATCACAGCATTATTTGTCTACAAAGGTCTCTTATTTCATATTACTAATGTATATACACCTCCTAACACTAGCAACAGAGTAATATTTTTTGATAACTGGACTTCTTAAATAAAAAAAAATGCAATAAACATTATAGCAAGTGACTTTAATGTAAATCTAAAACCTGAAGCAAACAGAATAAGTCAAGCTACACCTCAGCCAGACCCATCCAGAAACCAACTGCTGGAATTAACAAGAAATCTTTCAAACATAGCAGAAATCACAGGCTCTAAGCCTTTTCTTACATTTTACCAAAAAACACAAGGTGGTAACATGATGGCAACATGTTTAGACTATATATTTATTGATAAAAATCAATTCTATTTAGTCTCTAAGGTCACTACACATTTTGGTAACTCTGACCATCTCCTAGTTAGTTGCTCACTCAACTTCAACTAGAAATGAAAACAACTATTCAGCTGGTAATTTGATTTTTTTTTTTAAATATTAGTGGTAAGGCCATGCCTTTAACTTTATTGAAATTCAATTGAAGTTTTTACAAAGAAA